TTCTCTACAACCAACTATCCATATTCGATGGGAATTTTTTTATTTTAATTCTATGAGCTCATAGAATTAAAATAAAAAAAATTCCATCAAATATGGATAGTTGGTTGTCGAGAAATCTTCACTTAAAGTTAAAAAACCCGATTTTAGCTGATATTCTAAAAATTTTTATTAATGCATTTACAAATAATTATATTGCCTTTCAGTTATAGCTATCATTACTAGAGATGCATTGTAACTTTTAACATATTATTAACTAAAATATTATTAACTAAACAAACAACACTCATGTTTATTTTTTTGTTACTTAATGCTATTTAACTCATACTTAACTACAAATGAAAACGTGTATAGAAGATAAAACCATTATTAATATAATAAATTAAATAGTTGCAATAAACTTTAAAGTTAAATATGAATATAATCATAGCTTGAGCTATCTATTTCGAAATTTTGTATTTATTTATGTATTCCAACAATAACGTAATAGTAATAATAAATAGTAATGTATTCATCTTTTAAATTATTGATCATGATTAAGATTCTTTTGATTTTTTGTATAGTAAATATTAATCTTCGTTTAAAGCTATAAGTGGTACTTAAAATAGGTTGTATTAGTGTTATTGAAATGTTATGCTTCTAAAAAGACAATAAAGTGTATAAATAAATTACCTAGACAATTCTATATTCCGAATCTATAATGATAATTAACCCTGAACTAAGTAATTACATTGAACATAATAAAAAGAAATATATGTAATAAAAAAAAAACAGAGCTTACGTTTATAATGCCTCCCATGTCTCAACAATATGCTGGGTACCAGCTTTGCTAATTTCATTCGCCACTGCAATTATTAAAGTTAGAAAGTTAATAGATGTTAGTGATAATAATTTTATATCTTATAAGCTTCACGTTCAACATATAATATCTTCGTCTCAACGTCTTAGGGCATTTGCATCATTGAAATTTAGCGTTTTCACTATGTTGAAATATAAATTTGAATTTTTTAGTACTAAGATACAAATAATATTTGAATTAATATTTGATATAATGTTAAATTTTTGGAAAATTTATAAAGCATAAAAATTCATTTAATTCTGAATGTTTACTAATTACATTCATAAATTGCTTATATTAACAAAGGTAATTATTCGCTAGCATGTTTTTTAAAAAAAAAAAGCTAATTTTTTTTAAAACAAAAAATTTTTAGAAAGAAATAAGTTTTTTTTTAAAAAAAAAAAAGAATTTTGTTTGAAAAAATTTGTACATTAAATTGACCATCCTTTGATATTGAATTGATCATTTCTATTATCAACTTGAGTTCATCTAAGAGAATTAAATTAGTATATCCGTCAAGAATATAAAAATGTCAATAATATATTGTATTACCTTTGGGTTGAAATTAAAGATTGACAACTATTACAAAAAAAATCTGTTTAGTACAGATTAAGTGAAAAAAAAAGTTGAATAAGTAAAATATGTATTATTTATTAAATACTTACATTTATTAGTTTAAGAACATTGTGTGCCGGTTGTGATCTTTCCAAGTACGTGGATTATTTATTTTTCTTTTATATGATTTAATGTCCATTACTAAATTTTGTAAACCTTTGAAACTTTCTTGCACAGCTCGTGCCCATTGAATGTTATTAGCATTTTCTTGTTCTTGCACAATTTCAAGTGCATCATGAAGTACTGATTTATATTCTTCGAATAGTTTTAATGATTGATCAACGTTATCACTACTTGAAGTTGTAATATTATTTATAGTATCGACTACATAAATCAGATAAAAATATATTAAGAATTAATTTTGTATGTAATTTATAGATTTTAACTTAATAATATTTGTTTTTCTTACCTGGGTTTGAACGTATTAGTTGTCTAATTGAAGAAGATTGAACTTGCAAAGATGTATACTGTAATGGTAATGATAAAAATATAAAAGGATAAACTCCTTGTCATTGAATATTTTTAAAAAATGATTCATTAATTATAAATTGGGATGCTTGAACCAGGTGTTTGCAAAGAAAAAACCGATTAGTTAAAAATCCCAAACATCCGCAGATCCATTTTTCAATATCAGTAATATAATGACTATTAATTTGTTTTTCTTTTAGTGATATCCACTCTTTTTTAAAATCCTTTCTCCAAGATGTTTTCTCACGCTTCTGACAGTATTTATTATATTGCTGCTTTTGATGTGGAATTAAACGGGTAATTATGATGTAAGTTAATAGATCAAGGCGTGGCCTAAAAAATTTAGGCAGAAAATCTCGTTTGAGAAGTTTCCAATGCGATTCACATAACATTGTAGTACGAAATATGCAAATCTTGTTATATGCAGAACGTGCCCATAATACCCAGAGTTCTTTACGGTACCAATTTTCCCACAAATAAATCCACAAGAGTTTTAAATCGTGAGAAGTGCAAAATTCATAAATTTCTTTTGTTGACTGTTCCCAAATTTCATGCGCTGTCAAATAAAATCCACTAGCATTTGGAATTAAAGAATGAAAATGCATATGTTGTTCTAACATATTTAAAATTTTAGGTCGTAATTCTTTTGGGCAAAAACAAAAGTTTTTTTTTTGCATTGAAGTTATTTGTGATGGTGATGTTGGATAAAATTCAATATCGATAAATTCAAATTCTTGATGTGCAGAATGTGAACTATAATTAATTATTTTTGGATATGTGTTATCTGTAAGACGTTTTTTAAGTGCTTTCTTAAGATGCCAAAAACAAATTTGAACTTTGGCATTTGGCCAAACTTTTTGTACAGCAGAAATTTGTGAAAAATCTTTATCTGTTAAAATAAAATCAAGATTATTTAATCCTAATTCAAATAAAGATTCAAAAAATAAAGTTAAAATGCTTTTGCATGCGCCATTGTTTTTTCTAGCCCCTTCAACAAACAAATAAGCAAGTGCAAAACCAGCTCCGTCATACTGTCCAATAATTGCATATAATTCATATCCTAAGATATTTGTTTTATACGTAGCATCCATAGCTATTTCGTGATTATTTTTTAATAAATCAAAAAATGGGGTTATAAAGCCTAGATATTTGATATCTTGATTATTAATTAAAATAACTTTAAAGCCATTTTCTTCTATAAGAATCTTTGTAGAATTTAGTTGATTATTCTGATCACGAATATACTCCTTTTTTAGAAAGTAAGTCCACCATGCATGAACCTGTTTTTGTGTTAGGTTTGGATTTTGTTGTTCCAATTGTCTAAAAATGTCTGCAGGTGTACGATGAATATTTTTTTGGATTTCAACTTTAATATCATCAGATACATTAAACCGGTCTGGACGTTTATGAAGTAAGTTATGCCGAAGATCAACTGTTGCTATATTTATTTCCATATCAATTGATACTTTTAAAACACCATTACAAACAAATCGATCAATATACTCTCTATCACGTTGTTTGGTAAGATCTTCATGTTTTCGTGGACGTTTAGCTAAAGTACAACTTTGTGAACAGTTGTACGAAAATGTATATTTATTGGAATTTTTTTGAGATACATAAACTTTATGATAACTAAAAATCAAATAATATTATTAGTAAATAATATATATATATAAAAACAAATATTAAAAGAACCTTGTAATTAAAAATATATAGATTTATAAATCTAATTGCAAGTTTTCTTTTACTAATATCTATACATATACTATTGTTACGTATTAGTGTTAAAGCAAATTAATAGTTACATATAGTAATATCCGTCAGCAGATCCTACTATATCAGCAATCGCCTTTCCAAGTTCATGAGGTTCACTTTTTAATGAAGTAGTTGATATTTCACATGAAAATTCTATACCAGAATGTTCATTTTCTATATGTTCATCATTTCCAATTTGAAGAATATATTCAAATAACTTTTTTTTCATTTCCTTTGGCTCGATAGGATTTTGATCACAAGGTATATTTTTATTAGCCTTTGCGGCGTAGTAATTTGTTAAATCTTTATTTCGACAGTAATAGCATACTTTTGTAGAATTTCCCGTTTTACTAATGAAGGATGTTTTTTCTAAACTTCTACTACATCGTTCATATTTGCACAAGTTATCAGACATCATTTAATTTGGTAAAAGTTTTTTTTTTTACGTTTTAGCAAATGCTTTTGTTAAATATCAGTGATAAATAAAGTGATCTAAATGTAGCACAAAATTTAATAATGAAACATATTACGTATGTACGTACATATATATATATAATAAATTGTTAGTAAAAGATTATTGGCTAGAATTGAACACAAATATCGTGATTAAAAAAAAATTGGCCACGGCTTCTTTTTTATGAGCATTTAAATTTTGAACGAAGATTACTCGATATTTATCCAACCAAATTCAATCAAAAATTTTTATTTTAGTTCTATTAATACATAAAATTAAAAAAAAAAAAATATTAATAGAATTTGGTCAGGTAAGTATCGTTAAATGCCTATAAAAAAGAGGCTGCAGCCTTTTTTTTTTTACTTTAACGAAGATTTCTCAACAACCAACTATTCATATTCGATGAAAATTTTTTTATTTTGATTGCATGCACTCATAGAATTACAATAAAAAAATTTCTATCGAATATGAATGTTGGTTGTCGAGAAACCTTTATTAAAAGTAAAAAAAATTGGCCGCAGCTTCTTTTTATAGGCATTTAAATTTTGAACGAAGATTACTTGATACTTACCCAACCAAATTCGATCAAAATTTTTTATTTTAATTATTCTATTGATATATAAAATATAAAATTAAAATAAAAAAAAATTTGATAGAATTTGGTCAGATAAGTATAAAGTAATCTTTGTTCAAAACTTAAATGCCTACAAAAAAGAAGCTGTTTTTTTTTTTTTACTTTAACGAAGATTTCTCAACAACTAACTATCCATATTTAATGAAATTTTTTTATTTTGATTCTATGCTCTCATAGAATTAAAATAAAAAAATTTCCATCGAATATGATAGTTAGTTGTTGAGAATCCTTAATTAAAAAATAAAATTGGCCGCAGCTTTTTTTTTATAGGCATTTAAATTTTGATCGAAGATTACTCGATACTTACCCAACCAAATTCGATCAAAATTTTTATTTTAATTCTATTAATATATAGAATTAAAATTAAAAAAAAATTGATCGAATTTGGTCAGATAAGTATCGAGTAATCTTCGTTCAAAATTTAAATGCCTATAAAAAAGAAGCTGCGGCCAATTTTTTTTTTACTTTTAATAAAGATTTCTTGACAACCAACTATCCATATTTGATAAAAAAATTTTTATTTTAATTCTATGAACTCATGGAATTAAAATAAACTTTTTTTATCTAATATGGATAATTGGTTGTCAAAAAATCTTCACTTAAAGTTAAAAAAAAAGAAAAAACTTAACCGATTTTAGCCAAGATATTCAAAAATTTTTTAATTTTTTTCTGAAAATTTTTCAATGACTATTAAACCAAACTCAACAAGTATTTTTTTATTTCAGTTCTATAATAGTACAGAATTAATAAGAAATTTTTTTATTGAATTCGATCAAGTATTTATTAAGAAATCTTCACTAGAAGTTAAATAAAAATTCAAAATCTTAAGAAGAGATCTTCAACAGTAATGAATTACTATTGGCTGGATCTTGTGTAACCGATAATTTTTGGTGGTGTTGTTGGGGTAGTTGTATTTCCTTTTTTTATATTTTTTTTGGCCAATAATATTATCTTAATGTGATTTTTTATGATTTTGCCAAAAATTTCGATAAATTTTGATTAAATTTTGCCAAATTTCGAGAAATTTTGATCAAATTTGGCCAAATTTCAAAAAATTTCGATTTGGGGCAAAAATTTCAATTTCTTTCAAAAAATTGCTTTCGAAAAATTTCCGTGTCCCTGACTGCATCTCATTATAGTAGGGTTAAATTAGAGCAATATAGTGTTAATCAATTCTTGAATGTGTGCCAAGTTGGTGGCGCATTAATCAGTTGCAATGATCTCTTTTGTTTTAGTATATACAGTTATAGATGGTTGACAAAACCACGTTATGCTAATTGTCACATGCTATTACTTATAAAAAATCAAAATAGATCGTCGATTTTTATAAGTATTAGCATGTGACAATTAGCATAACGTGGTTTCGTCAACCATCTATATATACAGTACGTTTGTAAAATTTGTTTGTAATTGAAAACTTCTACCAGAAGTTAGAGTTGTAAAAAGATTTTTAGATATATTAATTATAGCAAGAATCTCTTTATAGTCTATTTGTAAGAATAGTTTTTTAAAATTAATTTGTTTATATATTAGATTTATAAAAGTAAAATTAGATGTTGTATTATTAGTTTCAACTAATTCTGTAAGTCTTGTTTGGTTGGTTTGTTCTATAGTTGATGAGGTAATTTGGTAAATATACCAAATTAGAATATCTGATTCTAGAATGATTTATATATTAATATTATATTTGATTGGTTTTTGTATATGTTTTTGCAACTATTTCTTAGAAATTTTTTATTTGTTTAATTTATTTTACAAACTCACAAATAGTATATAAATAGTTTATAGAAAACAGTTAGTTTAATTAGTGATCCACTAGTCAACCAGAGAATGATCATAGTAAAATATGACTCAAATTACTTATAAAAATTAGAGATCTTCAAATATGGCATGCACACATCTAAAACTTTTTTTTATACTAAGTTAATCATCTTTTTAACTTAAAAGACTTTTGTAAAGCTTGTCAAGATGCATCCAATGGTGGTTAGAGCATCAAAATCGGCTTGGTAAGTGTTGAGATATCTTTAAAAAATATTTCTTTTACTATGTAAACTTCTTTGCAAATAATAGTATTGTTTTTAAAGAAGTTTATATAGTAAAAAAAATATTTAGAGGTGTGGTGTCTTAGTGAAGTAGTCTAGTCATTACCCTCACCAAATAGTAATAGTATAAGTTCTAAGTTTGAATTCTAGAGATAACATTTTCAAAAAGAAATGAAATATATCAGATGATGATCTCTATTTAGGTTGGCTCAGGGATAATTTAGTGATCTGGTTTGTGAAACCGGAGAAAAGATTATGGAAGGCTGTAATTTGTGGACCATGCTTAGCACAGATCACAGAACCAGAAATTGGAGCCCGTTTGGGAAGTTCCAAGTAGGATGTAGCAGTGATCTTTGACAGTACTACAGAAAGGCTGAATTTGAACTGGGGCTCAAGATTAGAGAACCAAGTGACCAGGTCTTTTAGTAAGGAACACACTAGCCAAACTAACAGTTTAGATGCACTGGAGGAAAAGGTTATATGCTTCAAAAGTATGGACCAAGAGGAGGGTATCCTTCAGACACCTAAAGCCTAGGCAGACCAACCCTTCCAGGTTGCCGGCTAGAAGTAAGGAAGGAACCAATAAAGAATTTGGGTAAAAAGACAGTTAGAATGTGGGTATCAGGGTTGTTGTAAACCTTATAAGAGCAGGAGTACATAACTAGTGACTAATAGAAAGGTTGTACTTGAGGTATGGATCGGGTTATAGCAGCACCCCAAAAGTTAGCTTGAGATACAAACTCAGTGATAGCAGTACAACATGTACTAGTTAGAAAGAAGTTACTAAACATGCAGATGAACACATGTGTGAGACATGCACCACTCTGTTAGGTTTACCACAAGGATAAATGCCTCCAAATTAGGTTGGTGGCTAAAGTTTTAGGGTTTTTAATAGTAAATTACCTTGTGAAGAGGTATATTAGAAGGAAACATATAATGTCAGTTAAAGCCAAAGAGTTTAAATAAATAGCTTTCTATATCAGCAAAATATATTAATATAATCTTATGTAAGTTACGGCCCAAAATATTGCATAATAATTATGGTAGTGATTGGCATCATAATTATGTAATGCTAATTGTCACGTGGTACAATATATAAAAATCAACAATTAGATTGTTGATTTTTATATATTTACCACATGACAATTAGCATCACATGAATCATTAAATTACGGTCTGGGCATAATATTGTGCAATATATAACATAATATTACAAAATATTTTACGCAATATTATGAAACTTATAGCATAATATTGTATTATATTGTGCAATATTTTGAATTAATTTGAAACAATTTGAAATAGATATAAATACATCAAAACAGCAAAATATTTATAAACTAAAAGATAGCTACTAATGAGTAAGAAAAGCTAATTAATTTGAATTTATCAAATACTATTCGAAATATTTTAGGGTATTTCGAATTAATTTGAAATAAATTAAATAAAAATATGAATAATAGAAAATAAATTTAAATGCAATAATTATACGATTTATTAGATATTTTCAAATTATTTCGAAAAAAGCTAAATTTATAACTTTTATTTAAATAAACAAAATATAAATTTTATAACTTAACATTCAACTAAGAACAACTCTTTCTGACGATCATCTGGACCATATTTTTCTGAAAAACTTTTTGATTAAAAAACAGTAACATACTGCAAGAAAAAAGTAAGATGTGGGAAAAGAGTATAAGAAGAACCGCACTTGTCGTTTAGAGGTAGTTCTCATATGCTACCTGCTGACAAGCTCAGAGTTTATCACTT